AACTATTTTTTCATTGTTCAATGTCAGTAATAATAAGTATAATCTTAACTCTTGGAGTTAATTCTATAATAAACATTTAATTTTAATGTTTTTTTTGGTAAATTATTATTTGAATAMATTATATTTTATAATATTATACAAAAACGTTTTAAACTAAAAAAATATTTTGTATTTTACTTTTAAGCCGAAGTCAATTGTGAAAATATTGTTGTGGTTTTTCGCGGTGACSAATTGTCCTAAATCCCCGTGGTACCTAMGAACTAAGAAATCTTAGTTCGTGATAAAGACTGATTACCACTAAAAAATTAAATGATATTGGCGACACTGATCAACAATGATGCTGATTTGAATAACGGCATCTCTCGGGCCTTGCCGTATTGGCCTCGCCATCWCGTTACTCGTAGTTCTGGTTACATTCATTTTTATTTTTTAAGTGTTAACGAGTTTACGAATTCTTTAAAATATGAACTGGTGTTGTGTTTTTGGATCTTGACTTTGTATTGTGTAACATGAATGTTCCTTTATGAGTTTATGTGTATTTCTTTTGTTATTTATTTTACCAATACTAAATAATAACTATAGACTTTTAAAGTTATAGTTGTGAATCAAGATTGAAGACTCAACACTAYACTTCCATAAATTATCAATTCAAAATTGTGTAATGATTTTTCAGRATACGTTGATCAATATTCAATAGCTCAATAGATACCAATTGAATATATTTGMTCTATTTACTGTTATTTGTTCGGTAAATACGTTTATTTTCTGTTCACATAAATACCACCCAATCCATTTTATAATGTTCAACTGATTACATTACGTTTTCTACGTATGTAAATGCATAAATTTTATTTATATTATTAACCTTTTGTTATTTTGTAGTTTATTTGAATAACTGACACTATGGGTGAAATCATATCAGACCAAGAGCTACGTCGTCGTTTGTTGGCATTCAATGCAGTGGTCCCTCCAGTTACCAGTACTACCAGGAATTTGTTGTTGAAAAAGCTTGCAAGTCTCGAAGGTGGACAATCAGGAAAAACAGCCACTTCTAGTATTATGCCACCGCCAAAATTAAGGAGTTCAGCTAATGCCGCTAATGGTACCAATGAGTCAATTATGATATCGTCTTCTGTGGATGGAAAAAATTCGCAACATAGGACATTTGATAGTATGAATAGTCCCAGAAAAAGTGCACGTCAACAGCGAATATACAAAGCACCAGATTTATTTGATAACTCAGATTCTGAAGCTGATACTGGCTCTCTAGGACGATCCATACTACCGGCCAATCCATACATAGCTAGTTCTTCTCCTAAATCAAATGAAACATCTTTAATGAATGTATCCAACTGGAAAAATTCATATGACCATCAAAGCGCATATGTGTCACCAGGTATACATAAGCTTTATTTTAAAATGTCTGTTCATTGTACCTAATATTTTGGTAGTTGAATGATTAATTTACTCATGATGTTTTAACTCTGCAGAAACAAAAAATTATTCTGGCAAAGAACAAGAAATACCAACTGAGAAAATAACATCTAGACTTTTTGACTCTAAAGTTATTAAAACATCAACAGAAGGGACTAGTCAACAACTACGCTCAAGTTCTGTTTCCAAAACTCAATCACATGCCGATCAAGCAATACAAAGGTGGAAAGAAAAAATGATGAACCAATCACAGGGTAAGTATTTAGGTACCTATTTGGCACATTTTATTAAAACGACATGCAAAATACTATGTTTAATTAATTTTCAGAAAAAAATACTGTATCAAAGCCTTCACTATTTAATTCACCATCTCCTATTTCAAAAATAACCTCAAGAAGTTTAAGGTTTGCTAAGCAATTTTCTAAGAACACAAACTATTATTATAACATCTATGTAAAATATTTTAATGTTATTTTTTGCATAGGAAAAACTATCAATCTGGACAGCAAAAAAGTCTGATCAATTACACAAAAAACACTCGACATATCATCTTTCTTTTTGTTGGATTTTTTTCAATAATTTTTGGATTGTACTTCATTTCAATACAGCCAACTACAACTGTATTGCCACCAGGTAATGAAACATGTTTAACTTATATTTTTATATTTTAATTAGCTTTACAAATTTTCATTCTTAAAAACAGTTTCATACTCAGCTTTTATCTTGTTATTAAACACATCAAGATTTGATTATGTTTATTTTAACTTTAACACTTTTTAGAAGTAAGTTACTCAACATATTCTTATAAGTGTTATTATCCTCCAGACAAGTCAATTATATGTTATGATAAATATTATTCATTTATTGTATACTAAAACTAGGGTTGCATGTCAAGAATTTAAATTAATACATGTATCCTGATTGCTTCTGGATCAATTATACTTGAATTAAACTTCAATAATTTATGTTGACATTTTGTTTTTCAGTAAAAATTTCTAGTAGAAAATCAATATTGTTTTGATAAATGATGAAATCATTAAGTAAATTAATTGATTGACAAAATGTATTGTAAAATTATTTTCCTAGCTTGGTAATTATTAATATTGATGAATACATTAGTTTTTTCCCATAAATCCCTCACTGCAATTGTTGTCATTACTTGTCGCCTATTGATATTTTGTTGGTTWCTCATTCTGATTTAAAACTTTGAGTTAGTGTTTTCCTTTAAAACATATTGTGTTGTAGGATGCTGACCATTATATTAGGTATTCTAGGTACAGAAAAATATGATATTAAAACTAGCTATTGAGTGGTTGGATTTTCCCATAGAATGTGTACAAAATTGTCCAGCTTAGTTAAATAAATTATGACAAAAAAAAAATGGATCTACCTCTCTTGGTAATAAGAATTTTATCTGTGTTGGTATGTAGGTTCTTTTTTATGCTTTATTATGTAGGCATAACTTGCTAAAAACTTGAACTATCGTAAGGTTAGAGCAAAAACCACACACAAACATAGATAATGTTCTTACCATCATGTTTCATAATAGGAATATTTACTCTACCTAATTTTCAAACTAATGAAACTACACGTGATCTATTGAGCATTAATTCGTTATGCCATACACTCGTGAGACAGAGATATAAATGCTATGTTACATCCACTTAGGCTAGGTTAGGRAAAGTGCTAAAACTATAAATAGGAAAAYATCCCATGACAATCATTGTAACAACTTATCAAATAAAATGTTWATAATTATCTAAACCTATGTTTAAGTAAACTCATTGCTTTGATAATATTTAAACAATTTAATTGATATATTGTATTGATTATTATTTATCATCTTTAGGTATATTAAGCTCGTTGTGTGCAAAAAAAGGTCTCCAAGGAGATAATTGTGATACAGAACAAGAAAAAGTACAACGTTTGTATAATTCATTAGTATCACAGGTACAAGATAAATACATAAAGAATCAATGTGACAACTCAGATATTGAACCAATTGTAAATCCACAAACTGTATTTGAATATATTTCCACCCATGAAAATTTACCATCCAGGGAAATCGAAGAATTAGTTGAACTTTTTAAAAGCATTGCAAAAACTTATTCTGATTCGCCAATTGGATATGACACTTCATTTAAAGTCAATGTACAACCAAATTTGCCAATGTCCTGTGCAGTAAAACACATTTTTTCCAACATGTTCTATCTAGTTACATGGCTTGGAATCGGTATGTAACCCAATGTAGTATTATTTAAAGTTTTACA